GTGGGGTGCCTTGCCATACACCGGTCCTTGTTCAGTTTTTGCTAGTTCTCCGGTGGCAATCTTTTACGTAGCACCGTCAAAGATCTGTGCTATCTCTCTACTCAGGTCTTGCCAAGCGGGCGTCCATCTTTCTAGTTTCTTGGATTAGCACGATCCAGAACATTTTCGTGTAACTCATACATTACACGAATACCCTATGATCTTCTAATCTTGTTGGTACCACCAAAGTTACAGAGATCCTATTCCAACCGATCGTCGAAAGACAGTAGCCGTCGTACAAGTAGAATATTCGAAATTCGTTGCTAGTAGGTTTCAAACCCTCTACCTGGCCAACATATCGCTTGGGGGTACGACAACTTAACCACCTCACTAAGTTGCCACACCCTTATTTTCTATACTTGTAATATTTATAACATTTGCATATTTATTATAATAGAAGCGAACTAGCTATTGATAATTAGTTTTATTAGAAATACCATCATGATGTTCATCAAGGTTCTTTACTTTTTTTGGTTTGTTTTTACCAGACTTCCAACAGGCATAATCACGGTGCTGAATAATAGATCTATCAGTTGGGTCAAGATCTTTGCAATACTTAATAGCAACAAAACTATTTTGCTTTGCATATGCATCAACTGTACATTGTACTGCACTCCAATCATTAAAAGAATCTCCTACTCGTAATTAAATTATTTGACTATTATTTATTTGATTATCATTAATATTTACATCATTGTCAGACATAGAATCCTCAGAAACAGGTAAATTGCTAGCGAACCCAAAATTTATAAGATCAAATCAATTACTATTTACCTCAAAGTTCATAAGATTAGACCAATTACTATCCACCTCAAAGTTCATAGAACCAGGTAAATTATTGTTCACTTCGAAGTTCTCAAGACCAGACAACTCCTTATTCTCAAGAACAGACAATTTCTTATTTACAAGACTGAACAATTTCTTATTCACAAGACCAGAAAGCTTATAATTTGTAGGACCAGACAACTCATAGTTCACAGAACAAGGCAACTCATAGTTTACAGAACAAGGCAATTTATTCGTAGAACTAGAAAACTCATTTGTAGGACCAGAAAACTCATTTGTAGAACTAGGAGACTTTTTATAGAATCAGACAACTTATTCGTAGAACCAGACAACTCATTTGTAGAACCAGACAACTCAGAATTCACAGAAACAGACATCTTTTAAGTTATAAAACTAGGCAGAGTACCATCATAATTGGAAGTTACAGAATCAGCAGACAGTCTTAAACTACTAATATCAGAAATAGTTCTAAACTCGAAACCCTTAACACCAGGAAAAAAACTTTTTAATTTATAATTCATAGAAGCAGAAAAGTTTTTCTCTAATCCATCAGACATTACTTGCTTTCTCTTTCCCATCTGTTATTATATTAAAGATATAAAGAAAGACTAGTTAGTATCTTTTGACAATAAAAAATCACTTAAAACAAGTATAATATAGTGCTTTGAGTTTTTTTTTTAAAATTAACAACACCTAATAACTAATTTAAACTTACATTATACCTTGAAATTTAACAAAGGACGAAAGATTAAACGAGAAACGAAAGTTGGTTGAATTCTGCAACCCTTAAAGTTCTATTTAAGTTACATATATACATAAGTAAATATTCGTCGTTTGTTATAAAATCACAATATACAATATCTGCAATATAACGAAGATAAGAGTTAAAGTAGTTGCAAAGTCAAAGACAAATACTATCATTATCGTCATTATACTGTATTAACACATGATCATGGGGTTATATATAATACTGGTAAAAATCACCAGTAGCGATAAATAGTAATATTATATTTTTTTCTTGTTATTTTTATTTACCTTATATATATCTTATTCACTTTTTTACTTTTTTATATATTTATATTTATTCGTCAACTCTTCATTAAATTTATTTTATTTTTTTTATTCTATTTATATTTAGTTTTTTTATTTCGATCATTTTTTTTTTTACCCACTATCTACTTTTTTTTTTTTTTTTGCATTTTTTTGTTAATTTATTATTAAATTTGCATTTTAAAATATCAAAATATGCAAAAAAATAAGCAAAGTAGTTTCAAATTTTTGTTAGAATTTTGCTAATTCTAGACAAAGTAGAGAATTTGTAAGAGATGCTCTAGTAGCAACTAAGATGCAACCAACTCCTCCTATTTAAAATATATCAAGTCAACCCAAAGATAACTAAGATATTCTAAAATTTTCATTATCTAAATTAAAAGTTATAATTTTTTTAAAAAATTAAACTATTGTAAAAAATATATTAACTATAATAATAAATCAAATAAAGAATTAAATAACAATCTAAATCATATTAAAAGAAAACTATTTGACAAAATAAATCAAATTAAATGAAAAATAAACAATATAGATAAATATATTTTAAAAAGCTTTGACTTAATCTATAAAACTCAATTTATCAATATAATTTTTTTTGTATATTTATATTAATAATTAGTTAATAATAATAAAATAATAATAATAATCTTTATTAATAGCAAACTGTAAAAGCTATCGCTAAAAATTTAATTGAATATTTTTTTTTTCTTTTAGGCAATCTGATCTACTTTATTTGAAGAAAAACTAAACTTTTACATAGATATTATATCTATTACAACTATAATATCTTAGCCAAAGATAAATCACATCTAGTTTTATATATACAAGTTTATAGTAAACTATTAACTGCTATATTGTACTTAGATGCGATTTGCCATAGCTATACTTGGCTTCTTCCAGAGATTCAAAAATTACTTTAAACTTTTTTTCTCTAGAATCAACAGCTAGCATATAGCAAGCCTTGTCAGAATTTCTGCTTTACAATAGAGTATTGCTAATCTAATAACACTTTCTCGTAGAGAAGAAAAAAAGAAAAAAAAATATATATAAAAGGGTGTGTAAAAAACAAATACATATATGAAAATAAGTACTAATATAAAAGAAGACTAAAAACAAAAATAAAATCTAAAAAAAACTATTACTAGAAAGAAGAAAATCTGCTAACCAGGTGAAAACTTCTAATTATACAGAGTAAAGAACTACTCATATTACATTGTTAGGGAGTGCCATTTATCACCTGATTTTTAGGGTAGGGGTTCAGAAAATTATCAGGTCCTAATATAGTAATAACTTTTAATTGATTAAAATTTTTTAAAAATTTAAAAAATTTCAAATTTCAATATTAAATAACTTTTGAACCAGTGGTTCGTTTTAGATGATTTTACCACCAAAATGTTCATCTCAATGAGACAATTCTAACAAGTCTAAAATCATCAAAATCCAATTACAGGATCCCGAGATCGTTATAGATTTGTATTGCTTTAATTATATTATTTATATATATAAAATAATACAAATCTATAATGATCTCGGGATCCTGTGATTGGATTTTGACGATTTTGGACTTGTTAGAATCGTCTCATTGATATAAACATTTTGGTGGTAAAATTATCCAAAATGGACCACTGGTTCAAAAGTTATTTAATATTGAAATTTGAAATTTTTTAAATTTTTAAAAAATTTTAGCCAATCAAAATGCAGTATTTATAATCAGGTGGGGGTAGGGGGTAACCTCTTAGTGGCAAAAAAATCAGATGATAAATGGCATGCCCCTTACAAGAATCTTGATACAAAAAAAACAAATATACTATAACTCATGCAAGAGCCTAAAAATTATATAGGATCTTTGCTAGAAAAATCACCCTTCGACATTTTCCAATTGGGCTAATTTGGAACATTTTAAACCAATGTACCAGTTCTTATTTACATGTAAATTATGATTTGCCCTTATTGATTTAATAGCTTATTGAATGAATGTTTGAACCAATAATGGCAAAAATGATTTATATGTAAGTAAATACCGGTACGTTGGTTTAAAATGTTCCGAATTAGCCCGATCAGAAAATGTCAAAGGGTGATTTTCCTAGCAAAGATCTCATATACAAATAACTACAGGAGGTTTGTATATTTTATTATATTTTTTTTATTTTTTTTTACTTTAGCGATCCTTTCTTTATTTTATAAATTGGCAGTAAATTACAGTTAGATATATCAGTTAGCTAAACTTATGTTATCTTGTAAGAATACTATATGCTTGTCCAAATAAAGAATCTCTTGATTTGTCTCATTATCGCAGCAAAATTATAGTCACCTATAATTAAGCGCTAGAGTATAACCCAGAAGTGACCCGCCTAAGTGATAGTTTTCCTCCTTCCGGGATCCTCAACTTACTGAGAATATAAACCCTAGCTATCAACAGATAGTTTTACTGACCTTGTCAAAATCACCACTCTACAATAGAGTGTCACTAATCTGATAACATTTTCTTATAGAGAAGTAAAAAAGAAAAAAAAGGGGTAGGTGTAAAACGAAAAAGAGGCAAGTAAAAAAAAACAAATATACAAAGAAGATGATCAAAATATAAAGGAGTTAAAAGACTATCCTAAAATCTAAGAGAACTTGTTTACAGATATAAAAATCTGCTAACCAGGTAAAAAACTATCTACATGGTCGTAGAAATCTATATATAGAGCTATTTGACAAAAGATACTAAAGTGCACTTTAACTTGTGCTAAGGGATAAAAATTATATACCTATGACTCAGACTATTGTATATCTTATAAAACTGCTCCAGTTGCCAACTCTCATATTAAATCTAACTCAAGTCTTGGAATGTCTGACTTCAAAGTCTCAACACATGATTGTTAGTTTTAATTCTGGCTTCAAAACTTTCTTCTCATACATGTTTGTTGTTTTTTTCTAATTTGTTATATTGCAACTCGAGGCTTGCTGAGAATGGAAGTGGTAAACAATGCCAATCCTTTACCGATCTTTTGGAGGGGGTAGCCAAATCCCCCACTTTTTATTGAAAATTATAAAAAAAAAGAATGGCCTAAAGAAAAGTAGTGTTCAAGGTTCCAAATTTAAAGAGTACTTTTCCAATCTGTTTGTTTCGTCCTTTAGTCTTTTCTTCCTTTCAAATATAGATTTCTGCGCTATAGTATTTTTAAAATATCCTTTTGGTTTGGATGCCAAATATATAAAGAGAGTCTACCAAAGAAAAAAGCTTGACTCTTCCGTAAACCAACATACAGTTGCTCGTGTCTCAGTATATCATGTCTGCAGTCTTCATTGACAACACTCCATTACCGGAGATGGAAGTTTTACTAGGACTTTAGGCTTCAACTCTTCGTCTTGCATTTGGTGAAAATTTGGTTCAAATGATCGTTGAGAAGAGTTGTGTATATTTTATTATATTTGCTTAATTTTTCTAATTAAATACATATCATCATTCAAAAGTATAGGAACTTTAAACTCCACATGATTTTTACTATTTGGCAACTGCATATATTTGTATGCTCTAAACAATCTGATATGTAAGATATCTAATTGAAGTATTTGTCAGTTACTAACATTCACTAGTACTGTCTATTTTACATATATTATTTTATCATCATATAGTTTTTTGATATAGAAGTAATAAACAATATCAATCTTTTGAAGGTGTATACTAAATCTTCTACTTTTTATCAAAAAAAAGCCAAAAGTTTTAAAGAAAAAATATTTCATATTTGTGAATACTCAAACTAAAAAAGAGTATTTTCAGATAATACTCATTATACTAATAGCTTCTAGCACTTGTGTTAGGAGTTTTTTTACTACTACTGTTATCAAAATAAACCTTCTAGCTTGGATATTGAATATGCGAGGAAGTCTACCAAAGAAAATAAGTTTAATTCAAGATACAAACTAGCATAAATACATTTACTTCTTGATATTTCATGCATATAATCTTTATCAACAACAGCATCTAATAAAATTCACAAATATCTTGAGGCTTTTAGTTTTTAAAACTTCAAACTGCTTTTAGTATAGTTTTGGTACAAGTGATCATTAGGAAGAGTTGTTGTTTAATTAAGTATTCTATTTATTCTTCTGAAGAAGATTATATAATTGCAGCAAGGATTATTTAAAAGAAAATTATAATGATTTTTTTAATAATATAATAAATAAAAAATGTTAAACATATTATAAACAATATATTTATAGATTAGTAAATTTTATTTATTTTGATACTATAATAATTCTAAAAATTTTGAATATATTTAAAATTTTTATAAAAAATTTTTATATATTTTGTAACTTTTCTAAATTAATATTTTATATTTTAGCTTTTTAGAACATTTTGTATACTAAGAAGTGCACTTACTACGCATATTAAAGATACAATATTTTTAGTATTTAATAAAAGCCAATTAGATTCTATAAATATTAATCATTTCTAGCAGTAGTTTTGGTCTAGAAATCAGCTAACAAAGTCTTATTATCATAAACTTTTCACATCTATAAGTTTGATATTGAATGCAGA